GGCGCACCTTGAGGGAGAACTGGTAGATGGGGCTGATCTTGTTGAGGTCGTTGAGGATGAAGTACAGCAGGGACGCCCGCTCCGCCGCCGGCCGGTAGTTCTCCCTCGCCTCGTTGATTTTAATTTCTGTGATTTTGGCCTCTTGCACCTGAAAAGCCAACGAGAAGGGGCCGGAGTGAGGCCAGCGGGTGGGCAGCCCCGAAGAGCAGGCGGCCCGGCGGCCCCGGCCAGAGCTCTCAGCCCCCCGAGGCCGCCCTGTGGGGCTCTCGACGGGCAGCCCGGGCGCGGGGCCTGCAAGCGCCCACCTTCTCCTCGATCTCGCTGGCCGTGTGCTTGGTGGTCTCCAGATTCTCCACCAGGGCCGTGTCTCCCAGGAAGTTCCCCGAGGCGGCCGACAGGCGGGCCAGCAGGGAGTCCTCCAGCTCTTTCAGGACGATCTTAAACTCGTTCTGGGACTTGGTGAGGTTCGCCTGCAGGAGGCGCAGGGACAGGGAAGGGAAGCCCGCGGTGGGCACCTCCCGCCTCCATAGCCGGGGCCCGGGGCTCGGACGAGTGAACGGGGAAGCTGAGCCCCAACGCAAGCAGAGTGGGGGCCCCCAGCAGGGCGGTGCCTGCCCCGGCCTCTGCGGCTGCCTGCCACTGGCCACCGTGTGCAAGGGCTCGGGGACCACGGGAGAAGCACGAGGCCTGCGCCCCTCTGAGCCCTGAGTGTGGCCCACACAGCACCAGGAGGCAACTGGCACACAGGAGCTGCAGCCAGGCCTGTCTTGGGGGGCTGCGGGGTGGGGGGTTAGGCTGTCAGGGCGCCACGGTGACCCCTGGCCTGTCATTCACGCCGTCCTTTGATTGGGGGTTACATGGGGGGGCCGTGGGGGGAGAAAACACTCCTTACGTCGCACGAAATACAATTCGGTGTGACAAGGTAGGGACCAGAGCTGGGGAGCCTCCGGTGACCCGCCCCTTCCCGGGGAACCGCCCGGCCGGTGCCCCGCCTCCGGCCCCCACACCTTCAGCTGCTCCAGGTCGGGGCGCTCCTTGGCCACCACCGCGGCCAGGAGCTGGTCCTCGAGGCCGTCCCTGGTGACCAGGAAGTTGATCAGGGTGCACTGGGCCTGCATCTCGGGCTTGTAGTGGGGGTTGAAGTACTTGGTGTGCAGGATGAGGCGGAACTCGGCGTGGTACTCCACCTCCTTGTCGCCGATCTTGATGTACCTGGCGGCCGGTGCGGGAGGGGTGAGCCGGCCTCCCGCGGGTGCGTGAGAGCCACACGGACGGGACGCAGGCCGCCTTCCGTGCCAGCCGGTGGCCGTCCCACCCCGAGGGAGGGACTGGGACCTTCCTTGTTCCACTCCCCGCCCTGGCCTGCGGCCGACCCTTCGGTAAGGCGCAGCTGCTCCGTCTCCGGCTGGCGTTTTCTGATCTTTACAACGGTATTTACTCAACTGGCAGCAGGCGGGTCCACCCCAGGGCCCTCAGCATCGGAACGACGCCGGCATCCCAGCCCGGAGCGCGGGCACACAGCCGGGTCTGCTGGTCCTCCGCGGGGGCCCCGCTTTCTGGTCAAGCTCACGTTTTGGGGCTTAACGTCACCCACTGGACAGCAGCCAGGCCCTGCCGGGCCCTCTCAGGGTCCAGACCTCGGTGTGTTTATTTGCTGCCCCTGACCCGGGCGCCTGCAGGCAGGTAGCCCGGCATTTATGGGCGGCTCACATATACTCGCACATTTTATTTTTAATTTTTTTTTCAGAGAGAGTGAAAGGGAGAGAGAGAGGGAGGGAGGGAGAGAAACATCGATGTGAGAAAAGCACATCGATTGGACTTCACCTGAATTTTTAAAAAGTAAAATAGGTCCAAGATTCGCAAAATGCACAGAAACAGAAAGAAAAACGTGACCTGTAAGAATCCCCACCTGGAGGCTGTTACTAATAAAACGGTGTATTTATTCCCGGCTGGGATGTGGCCCCGTGATTCTCCCCCCGCCCCCAAAGCTGGGGTCCGGCACACCTGGTAGCATTTCAGGGGAGCCCCTGCCGCCCCCAGAAAAGCCGGGAAAGTTCCTTCCCCGCATGGTTCTGGGTGCAAGGTCCAAACCTCTCCCTCCGCACCCTGGGCTCGGAGGTGGACCCAGAAACTCACTTTCCCTTCTTGATCGTGTTCCTGCCCAGGAGCGGGTCCAGCACGGGGTCCACGCTCTCGCCGATGTTCTCAATGAGCAGGGTGTCCCCTTGTGAAATGGCCTGTTCGATGATGTCCAGGTAGCTGTGGGCACAGCGGGGGGTCACTGAGCAACAGAGGGGCCAAGTGATGGCACAGCCACGTGCCCCAGGAGGCACTGGAGGGGAGGCGGCGGGGGGCCGGCAGCTCATACCCCTGAGCCTGTCCTTCCGAGGGAGCCCGAGGTTTCTGTGTCCATCACCCGGTGGGCCCAGGGAGCCGAGGCAAATGCCTTCAAGCCTGCCCCTCTCGGCCTCCCCTGGGCACCCCGATGGCACTCAGGGCCGCCGGCCTTCGTTACGGCCACTGTCCCTCACGGGGAACGAGCCAATAAACCACACGAGAGGCCAGAAATAGAAAATGACCAGCCTGCAGCCTCACGGCCAGCAAGCGGCCGGGTGAGAGTCAAGCCAGGCCGGGGCCCGGGCCAGCGCTCCCTCCCTGCAGGAGCCACAGGTAACGGGGGGTTTAGATCCCCGAGTTTACATCTGTACTCTTGGTGCCGTTCCCAGTTTAAAAAAAAAAAAAAAAAAATCCACCTGTGGACCAGTGTTTGAATTGAAAGCTCTGTCCACTGGTTTAACAAGCGCAACCCCCCGAGGCGGCTGCCTTTTTCACCCCCAGCCCCTGAGCGGGCGCAGCCGGGCACCTCTTCTGTCCCAGGCGGATAGCTTTCAGTTCCGTCCCGAATTTGTTTTTGATCCACTTGATCCCTTGCAGCTGGGCATCCACGATGAGGGGCCACCGCTCCGTGTTACACAGGATGGTTGCGTTCTCGGTGGACATGCGGTCGCTGGGGAGCCCCTGGTTGTTCCACGTGGCCACGTCCGCATCGTCGGTCAGCAGGCTCAGGGGATCCAGACCTTCCGTGATGGGGATGGGGACCTGCCGAGGGGAAACGCTCATCCTCAGAGGGCAGGCGAGGCCTCACCGCTGTACAGAAGACACCGTCCAGGTAACGGGGGCTCTGCAATCAGACGGTGGGCGGGCGGCCACCTGCGAGGGGACGGTCACTCCCGCGGCCCTGACGGAGCCTCGGCCTCAGGACCGCGGGGGAGGTTTGGCCGGGCCTGCCCGCCCTGTGGGGGCCTCCCCGGATTTCCCGAGCGACGGGCCTCTCACCTTTAATTTGTTTATGTAAGGGATCCAGAACCTCTCCATCAGCTCATTCCGGTACTTCTTGGTGAAGTAGCCCACGTAGGACACGAAGGCCGAGATCAGCAGGACGTCTCCGCACAGGGTGATCCCCTGGGACTTGTAGTTCTTCACCGACTGGGCCCAGCGGATGTTTTCCGACGCCAGTCCTCCCACCAGCCTAAGACGGGACAGAGGTCAACGGGGTCAGAGAGGGAACAGGCGTCTGGGTGGACACGAGGCTGCGGCAAGGAGAGCAAGGCGAGTGCCCTCCCCGCGCGCCCTTACTCCGCTCCGCGCTTCAACAGCGAAAGTGCGTCGGGGGGAAATTTGGGGAAACATATGCTTTGGGGGGAGCAACACTGATGCTTTCTGGAGACAGGCACAGAGGAGCCCGAGCTCCCCTTCCCCGGGTACCCATGGCTCACGCCAGGCTCCGGAGCTCACTTCTGAAAACACGGGAAGGAAGCTGCGCAGCCGTGTGGCTCGCCAGGGCGGCCTGGAGCACCAGAGGCGAGCCCGGGCACGGCCGGTCTGACCTGGGACAGCCCTGGGTGCAAACACGCCGGGGTTCCAAGGACTCGGAGCGAAAGCAAGCAAACAGCCCGGACGGTGGGGCTCAGTGGGCCGAGGGCCGTCTGCGCAGCGGAAGGTCCCCAGGACGATTCCCGTCGGGGCGCAGGCCCGGCTGCAGCCTCGGGCCCCAGGAGGGGCGTGCGGGAGGCAGCCGATCGACGTTTCGCTCTCACATCAATGTTTCTCTCTCTCCCTCTCCCTTCTCTCTCTGAAAAAATAAAATAAAAAGTCTTTAAAAAAAAAAAAAAAAANCTCTCTCTGAAAAAATAAAATAAAAAGTCTTTAAACCGATCGACGTTTCGCTCTCACATCAATGTTTCTCTCTCTCCTTCTCCCTTCTCTCTCTGAAAAAATAAAATAAAAAGTCTTTAAACCGATCGACGTTTCGCTCTCACATCAATGTTTCTCTCTCTCCTTCTCCCTTCTCTCTCTGAAAAAATAAAATAAAAAGTCTTTAAAAAAAAAAAAAAAAAGAAAACAAGCATATAAAACGTGTCACTGATCACTCATCACTTGTGGGAATGATCAGATTTGTGGTTAAATAAAATACATCGTCAAAATCAATTTCATCCGCGTCCCTCTACTGTTTCAAGGCGGCAACGCGGGACTCCGAAGGGCAGCGTGGTCGCTTCGTGTCCCGCTGGACGGCCTGGCTCTAGAGCCGTGGGAACGGGACACAGGAGACAGCGGGCGATGACCCTGCAGGCCTCCCCAGCCGTGGTCCGGGCGACCGCGTCTCAGGCGGGTCGGGGGCGGGATCCTGTACTGCGAGAGGTCACGTTTCCTGAAGTCGAGGGACGCGCGGGGTCCCTGGGGAGACGTCCCCAGCTCTGGGAGGTCGTCCTCATTATCCTCAGGACTTGGCGCCCAGAGAGCAAAAGCCTGGACCTGCTGCCTCCGCCGGGGCTTCTCCTTCCTCCAAAGGCCGGTCTGTGGGCTCATCCCTCTCAGGGGGTCTGAGGACGGAGGGGGGGGGTCGGCGGGGCGGAGCCAGCTACCTGTTGGCCAGCGAGATCACCCTGTTGGTGGCGTCGGCCTCCTGCTGGCACTTGATTTTCTCCGCTGTCGCTTTCTCAAATGCCGACGTCAGGTTGCTCAGGTTGGCGTTGAGTTCCTGGAAGAACACGATGGGGGGTCCTGGGGTGGGCGAGAGCAGCAGCTGCCCCCTGCGGAGGCGGGTCAGGGGCAGGGCTGCCCAGAGGGCAGGGCACACGGCGGCCTCGCGGTGGGACGGGTCCCCACGGCCGCCCACGTGTGTTGTCTCGAGCTGCCGGGTGATTCGCCACCAAGGCAGCAGCCAAGGCCACCCCCTTCCATCGGAGGCACCGCCCATCCGAGCGGGCCGTGGCTTTGGTGCCGGCCGGGCAGCCGGGCACTCACTGCAATCTTGTTCTTGATCCGAGACAGCTTGTCCTGGGCCTCGGCCAGCTCGGCGTTGGCCTCCTCCAGCGCCTGTCGTTTGGGGGCCACGTCGCAGTAGACCTCATAGAAACGCACGATATTGATGCACCAGGAGCACAGGCCCGCGGCCGCCGTGGACTTGGAGCGGATGAACTCAGGGTCGAAGGTCGGATTGCCTTGGTAGGGCCTGGAGAGGGGACAGGGGACAGGGCAGCCGGCCTGGGCTCCGCAGGACGGGGCCGACTCAGTCTCCTCCCCCGGCAGCCCCTGTGAGGCTCCGGCCGCTGACCACAGGGATACAGCGAGGGCTGAATTTTTTTTTTTGGTCTCAATGTTACAGGAAGAAGGGAAAGGGGGACACAGAATTCTGGCCCCTGGAGTATGCGACGCGCGTTCAGGCTAACGTGGCCCCGGGTTTGCCTGCTTCGCACACACGGACGTTGCGGGAGCCGCGGGGAGACGGTGCAGCTGTTGGGCGTGAGGCTGGCAAAGTGTTTTAATAGCACAGGGAAGTTTTTTTTTCACCCTAACAATGTTAAGTAAAAAAATAAAAGCAGAGCAAATAATTGCATGGATACAGGATTATTTCAACTTTGGAAAGAAACTTTAGAAAAAAGACCGAAACTCCTTCAGTGTTGGCAGTGGCTGCTCCCCGGGGGCGGGCCTGTCGGGGTTTCCCAGGCTTTTCTCTTACACTTTAAACTGTTCTTTATCTGTCAAATGCTTTCCTGTCACCCAGGCCTCTTCCTCAGCAGATGGGGTCTGGGAGATGTGGGGGTTCTCGCCTGGGGTCACTGGGATCACGGGAGCGGCTCTTTCTCAGGGTCAAGCAGACCCTGGGGTTGGGTTGCCCCCAGGGGGGGCAGGCAGGGGCCACGTGAGATATGAACAGTGGGTTTGGCGTGCTCAGGAGCGGAGAGCCACGCAAGGGCTGGGGTTTACGGGTAAAACGTGGCAGTGCCCCCATACACCCCTCCCATGCCCCCCACCCAGGGGCAGCACTGCCGGCCAGGGTGACTGTGTCCCTCCAGGCCCGGTGCACTTGCAGGGCGGCCAGATTTGCCCGGGCCGCCGCCAACCGTCTGCAGGGTCCCGCCTTGCCCAGCGGCCGAGGCCCTGCCCCGCTCGGGCGAGCGGGGGATTCGGGGGCCTCACAGCAGCGCCTGGACGCAGGCCCCCGACAGGACTCAGGGCTGAGGGAGCCCCAGGCCGCGGCCAAGCCCCACTCACTTGAACGCCTTCAGGCAGGTCTCGGGGATGTGTTCCTTGTCGAACTTCTTCAGGGAGTCCAGGAACGTGTCCACTTTGCCCATCATGATTTTCGCCGCCTTCCAGCTCTTGTCCTTGGGGATCTTGCCCCCGGGCGCCGTCAGAATCATGACGGCGGCCGTGACGTTGACCACGGCGTCCGGCGGGGACCCGAAGGACTTCAGCTCTGTCAGGTTGTTCTGCGAACGACAGGTGGGGACCAACCTGACGGGGGACCCGGAGGCCCCGGGGACGGCCCCAGGGAGCCTGCTGGGGCTGAGCCACCACCGGACCACGGCCGGGGCCTCCCCTCTCCCCTCACTCGGGCCGGGGCCCCGCTTCCTTCTTCTCTCACCTTGTTCAGGGTGTCCAGGGCCTCCTGTGCGGCCAGCAGGGCCGGCTCCGCCTTGGCCAGGTCCGTTTCGCAAGCTTTTTGCTTCTCGGTGACATTCTGGAAGGAAGCCGGACAGCAGAGATCAACTTGGGTGCCTGTCTGGGAGGCGCATGCGGGGGGAGCCCGGGCCGGGGCTGTGAGGGAGCGAGGGGGGGTGAAGAGGGGGGCCCGCTGCGGGTTCCCCTCATGCTCACTGAGGCTCCAGTCACCGCCCGGAGCCCACCTTCCTCCTTCCTGCCTCCTTGGCCCCTGCCCCTCAACACTCAGGCCGCAATCGCTGACTTAGGATCCGGGAATGGGAGCTGTTGCTCCCACTGGCCCCAGCTTCCAGGCTGTGGGGAACCCGGGGCCAGGCAGACCACCCCGGCTGTGAGGCCTAGCGTTTCTGGGAACATTTCAGGGGTACAGCTCAGCCTCCCCTTAAGAAGGCGAGAGCGTCCTTCATCAGGCGCACATTCACTCATTCATTCACTCCGGCACACATTCACTCATTCATTCACTCAGGCGCACATTCACTCCTGCCTGCACACATTCACTTATTCTTTGGGTCAGGAAGAGCCCCTCTGAAGGGTGCCAAGCAGACAGACCCGTAGCAGCTTGGTGTCTATCAATAAGAAACAGCATCTATGTGATAATAGCGAATGAGGGGGAGGCGGGAGGGATTGGGACAGTAGGAGAGGGTCTCTGTAAGTCCTGTCCCAGGCAGGGCAAACGATCTCCCAGAGAACCCTGTCCTGCACCTGCTCTAGGGACTGTGTGGGGCACGACTGAGGGACCGGGGCACAGATGGACCCAGCCAGCTGGGCTGGGCAACACCCAGGCCTTCTTCCTGGAGCACCCGGGGGGCCATTTCCGGATGTGGGGGTTAGAGAGGGGTGGGCGCCCAGACACCGGGCAGCAGGTCACAGAGCTCAGGGTGCTGGACGCGGGTCCTGGCTCGGAGCCTGACTGTGTCACTTGCTAGTTTTGAGTCCTCAGCACGTGGCCGACCACAATGGGCCTCAGTTTCCTCATCTGCCTAACAGGGCATCCTCCGTCTCAAGAGACAGCGGACAATTTCTGGGACACTCTTAATTTAGACGCTGGAGCAGACACATGAGGATGGCACAGAACCAGGCAGGGAGGGGAGATGGTCAACCAACCAGCCGTGACAAGGACTCCAGCTAGGAGCCCACCTGCCGGTGACATCAGAGCCTCGGGGGCTCCTGGTGCAGTGCGTCCGAGGACCGGGGCTCCAGTGCAGCCTCCCCAAACCTTAACGCGCTCAAGGGCCCCAGCCTCTGGTTAGAATGCTGACGATACAGCCCAGGGGAGGGGGGCGGGCCCAGGAACCTGCATTTCTCACCAGCTCCCGGGGTTGCTGCCTCTGTGGCCTGGGGGCAGCAATGTGAGGAGCGTGGCTTCCAGTGGGGGGGGTCCCACTGGATTGGGGGCTCCTCAGCCTTTGCCCAGGCCTCCCCCGGGAGCCCCGCGGCGTAGACGCGTGCAGCCGCCCCCGGGGGCCGGGCCGTCCGCCCACCTTGTTGATGACTTCCACCTTGGCCTCCTCTTCGTCGGCGATGGCCTTCTCTTTGCTGACCTTCTCTGTCTCCACTCCCACCACCTGGATCAGCTTGTCCGCGTTTTCATTCTTCNTCACTCAGGCGCACATTCACTCCTGCCTGCACACATTCACTTATTCTTTGGGTCAGGAAGAGCCCCTCTGAAGGGTGCCAAGCAGACAGACCCGTAGCAGCTTGGTGTCTATCAATAAGAAACAGCATCTATGTGATAATAGAGAATGAGGGGGAGGCGGGAGGGATTGGGACAGTAGGAGAGGGTCTCTGTAAGTCCTGTCCCAGGCAGGGCAAACGATCTCCCAGAGAACCCTGTCCTGCACCTGCTCTAGGGACTGTGTGGGGCACGACTGAGGGACCGGGGCACAGATGGACCCAGCCAGCTGGGCTGGGCAACACCCAGGCCTTCTTCCTGGAGCACCCGGGGGGCCATTTCCGGATGTGGGGGTTAGAGAGGGGTGGGCGCCCAGACACCGGGCAGCAGGTCACAGAGCTCAGGGTGCTGGACGCGGGTCCTGGCTTGGAGCCTGACTGTGTCACTTGCTAGTTTTGAGTCCTCAGCACGTGGCCGACCACAATGGGCCTCAGTTTCCTCATCTGCCTAACAGGGCATCCTCCGTCTCAAGAGACAGCGGACAATTTCTGGGACACTCTTAATTTAGACGCTGGAGCAGACACATGAGGATGGCACAGAACCAGGCAGGGAGGGGAGATGGTCAACCAACCAGCCGTGACAAGGACTCCAGCTAGGAGCCCACCTGCCGGTGACATCAGAGCCTCGGGGGCTCCTGGTGCAGTGCGTCCGAGGACCGGGGCTCCAGTGCAGCCTCCCCAAACCTTAACGCGCTCAAGGGCCCCAGCCTCTGGTTAGAATGCTGACGATACAGCCCAGGGGAGGGGGGCGGGCCCAGGAACCTGCATTTCTCACCAGCTCCCGGGGTTGCTGCCTCTGTGGCCTGGGGGCAGCAATGTGAGGAGCGTGGCTTCCAGTGGGGGGGGTCCCACTGGATTGGGGGCTCCTCAGCCTTTGCCCAGGCCTCCCCCGGGAGCCCCGCGGCGTAGACGCGTGCAGCCGCCCCCGGGGGCCGGGCCGTCCGCCCACCTTGTTGATGACTTCCACCTTGGCCTCCTCTTCGTCGGCGATGGCCTTCTCTTTGCTGACCTTCTCTGTCTCCACTCCCACCACCTGGATCAGCTTGTCCGCGTTTTCATTCTTCTGCTTCAGCTCAGCCTCCTGAATCGCCAGCTTGGCCTTCAAATCGTCCACCTGGGGGAGGAGACGCCATGAGGGGGGCCCCCCGGGCCCCCCACGTGGACCGGCCGGCGGCCACGGGGCCGAGCAGAGGGCCCTGAAGCACATTTCGATGCCTCTTTCAAACTTCTCTAAGGTAAGCACGTATTGAACGCCAACTGTACACACAGGGTCACAAGTACAAGACACAGTCCCGTGGCTCGGGGAGTTGACAGTCGGGGTGGCCTGATTAAAACAGGTCAGCAGAATCCGGGTGCCAGGGAGCTCTGGGGAGGCTGGAGCAGCAGCGAGAGGAAGCCTGGAGCCGGGGACACAGCCCTCCCGGGAGCGGGGATGCGTGAGGCCCGGGCCTGGCCCGGCGGGAGGGCTGCTGGGAACTAGTAAGTGACAGGGTGGGGTGTTCTCCCCACTTTGTGCCCATTTCTACCACAGGGAGGCTGCTCAGCTGCTGTAACCATCCTCGCCTGGGAGCTCTGTCCCAGGACCCGGCCTGGAAGATATATTTGGGAAAACGCAGCGACCGGCTGGGCTGCCCTGCTGACCCCGGGCCCCTGACCCCGCCCGCCCCAGTCCTGGCTGCCCCCCCACCTGAGAAGCCGTGCTCTGCAGCTTCATCAGGCCGTTCTCCAGCCTCTCGATCTTGGCCACCAGCTCCGCCCTCTTCTTGGCCAGCAGGTTCTGGTAGAGCTTGATCTGCTCCAGGAAGGTTTTGGGCGTGGTGTAGTTGTAGCGCCTCT